AAAAAAAAAAAAAAAAAAAAAGCCTCACCTCCCACTTCCTCCCTGTGGTTACCCTTTGTCTGTGTCTTTCTTCCTTACACATTCCTGCTTCCCTACCTTTCTCCTTATTGCTCTTCTGATCTCCCATGGTTGACTGTCCTATGGAGTGCATCTCCCTGGTGTAGATGTTCAGTTCATAGTCCTGTCTATTGTTGGCTGAGAGTTACGCTTTGTCTGTCTGTTGTTTGAGCGTTACATTGGGAGGTGAGATATTACACTGTGGTGAATGTAACCAGTGTTACAAAACAAAATGTGTATGAACTGTTGAATGTAAAACAAGTCTGCTTTGTAAAATTTCACCCAAATCACAATAAAAATAATAAAAAACATCTCCCATATATCACTCTCAAATGAATTGTCTAAAGACCCCCACATTGTGATAAAAATTATATTGTTTACCAAATTTGCAAGCAATTTTCAACATTTTCTCTCTTTATACTATTTGAGATAAACCAACTGTTCTGTTAGTAAACGTGCTCATGGGAAATAAAGCTATTTCTGATTTTTTTTTTCATTGATGTTTGGCTTATTTCTTAAGAAATTACAAATATGCTCACTTATTGACTATCTCATTACCTGACATTTTGTACTTATGTCAACTTTGAGAAAATTCTCATGCAGCTCCTCCAATAGTCCAGGCCCCATGCTGGCCATGACCAAGCCCTCCAGAGGCCACTGCAAATGATTTACTGAAGGCCCCAACAAAAATCTACCATGTGAGGGACAGCACCTGACCAGCCATGGGATGCTTTCTCCCATACTTCCACAGCTCCTCAATTCAGCAAGGAGAGTGAGAGGTGATGGTGGAGCAATGCAAGGCTGGCAGGCAGCAGAAGTGTGGGCAAGGGCCTGAAGTTGCTGGGGAGTTTAGGGGGGAAGGCAGAAAGGGGGAAAAGGAGAAAGGGGCCAACAGGATCTCAGGGCCAGAAAGAACAGAAGAAGAGCAGAGTCACTGCCCAGGGCAAGCAGCAGGAGGTGGGGGGTGGCAGGCAAATCTGACCATCAGTACAACCAACAACAACCCCTGCAGGCCTTACAGTGGTGGGGAAAGTTGTGGGAAGGGGGGCCTGCTGTGCCACACATATCACTAGATGCACCTGATGCATGGTGGGCAATAGGAAGGTTCCCACCAGTGCCAAAGACAGAGTGCGGCTCAGACACTCGCATAATGCCAGTTTTACTAATGACCTGGTATTTGGAACTTATCCATGTGGATAAGTAAGGAGGAGAGTGTATAGACCTTTTATAATACACTTTCACTCATTTATTCTTTCACTTCACTCTCCACTGATTTATTGTTCCCAAACAGTGTATACAAAACATTATTTTAAAGCCACTGATTCCCTGAAAGTTTGAATTACATTTTTAAACACTTCCAATGAGTTATGTGTAAAAGTTAAATTTTACCAATTATGTAAATTCTAGAAATGTGAAATTAGGCTGTTTCAGAGTTTACTAGCTTCAAAAGAAATCATAACCACTTCTGCACAGAGCAATTGATCAGAATTCCAGTGTAGACTTCCAGCTGATTAGCTTTCCATAGAGATCTCAAGGCCACCAGACTCGAGACATCCAGGGGCACAGCCGGATGAAGGATGCTTACTTCACATGCCTGCCAACTCCCGTACACACCTGCTAGTTTTCTTTATTCCCGTGAAATCTCACTGTTTCAAACCCAAAACCCAAACCACTGCCGTTGAGTTAATTCTGACTCATAACCACTTGGTAAGATAGAGGAGAAGTACCTCATAGGATTTCCAAGGCTGTAATCTTTACAGAAGCTCAAACTGCCAACCTTTTAATCAGCAGCTGAGGTCTTTAAGCACTATGCCTCTAGGACTCCTGTATTGTTTTCATGAAGTGAAAATACTATGATATAAAAATGATGTCCTCATGTATTATGAGCCTTTAGTGTAACAAAGTCTTGGAATCAGTGAAATTGAGATTAACAGCTCAATTAATGATCAGTTTATAATCAAGTTATTTTAGGCTCTTTGAGTCTCAATTCATCTCTAAAGTGGACATAAACATATTCTTCTTTAGGGACTTGATTTGACAATAACTGAAAATGTTAGCAAAATGCTTGGCAAAAGAGACTGGTACAAAAGCTGTGTCGTAAAGATACATAGTGTTGCTTTTAAAATATACTTAATCTCTGATTTTACTCCTTAGTCACTAGGTTGAAATTGTTTTTGGAACATATCTTAATGGCTGATCAAACTGTGGCTATTAAAATGCTCCCAATTTTACATTTGCATATTTAAGATAATTAATAAATCTTAAATAT